GGGGTCAGAGGTCTTGGGTGTGGGTGTTTTGGCTCCCCCGGCTGGGCAATGGGCTGGGGGGGGGCAGGGACATCGGGGTAGTTGGTTGGTTGGAGGGTTGGTTGGGGGTTGGGGTGGCTGAGTATTGTGTGTGTTTAGGAGAGGCGAGGAAAAGCTGAAGGAGGAACGGGGGAAGGGGGGGCCTTACCCTAAGGGCCGTTTCTAGAGGAGGGGGAGGGAGGACGTGGATCAGGGCGGCGGGACGGGGCGGGACGGACTTGCCCGATATTGCTCTTGTCTGCCACACTGTGTATCCTCCGTTCTTCTTCCCGGGATTCCCCCTCCTTGCCCCCCCTTCTCCACAACCGCCGACTGGTCAGTTCTGCTACCGTCCTGTACATCGGCCGCAGCAGTCTTTCCTTCTGGCATCAGCTTCACTCGCGCGTGGTTTTTCTTGCCCCCCCCCCTTACCCCACCCACTCCCGCCCATGCAGCATTTCGAGTCCATCAGGCGATGTAAAAACCCGTTCCGGCGCCTTTCCCATAAGACCCTTTTCCAGCTTGCCTGTGCCTCTGTTTGTCAGTCTGTCGGTCTGCTTTCCCACCTCCCCAACCGGGTGTTTTTTAACTGTTTGTGGTTGGCGGGCAGTTTGTTGTTGGCGGTTTGTTTCGTAATCCCGCCCGCACTTGATACCCTTCGCAACACCTCTTCCCGGGGCTTGTGTCTTCTCCGGGATTATCTATAGCCGTATATTACATCTGGTAACTGCTTCATTCGCCAGTGGTCCGTCTTAACCCCCGAACCCGGTTCTCCCCTTCCTTCCCGTCCTCTCACCACCACCTCCAGACCCGACGTGCTGTCCAGGGAGGGTCCGAGGTTAGAGGAGCTCATATCAGGTACATCACCAACTGCTGCTGGAGGTGGGTGGTTGAGGTCGTTGGTGGTGGTTGGAGTGATGGAGAAGGGGGAGGGAGGGAGACGGGTTTGTGCATGCGGGGTGCCGAGGGAGGGCGGAGGGGTAAGGGAGGGGGGGAGCTGTGTGTGTAGCAGAGCAGTACAACAAAAGGCGGTGGGTGGGAACAACTGCAGATGTTGGAAAATGTCAAGGGAGGGGTTGAGGGTGGCAAAACGGGGCGAGGGGAGGAGGGAAGAGGAGTCAGGGGAGAGAGGAGCTGCTGCGTTTTGTACGACAAAGCCCGCGAAGGTGAAACCCTGGAGAGACCAATGTACGGCTGACGCGTGTTTGGGCTGTTAGGCGGGAGGTTACATTAACTTGGTCACCGGACATCTGGAAGATGGTTGGGGTGAGCAGACCCGTCTTACTGGTGGGGGTTGCTTACGGTACGTGTCGGTTTGTCTGTCTGTACGTATGTAAAGCTGCTTGGGACGAGTAATATATGCACTGCTCGGACCAATCCGGTTGTTGGTTGCTGTGGGGGGGGTCCCCGCCCCCAGTAACCCTTTCGAGGGCCGCAGACACCCCCAACGGCGTAGGTGGAGGAGGTGGCGAGCGCGGCCGCGGCGGCGGCGCTCGGTACGGCAGCGCGTACGGGCAGGGCGCCGCGGCGAAACGGATGGCGAGCTGTTCGCCCGACCCGCGGACATCGCCCGACTCCCTCAACTACAACTACAACAACCAGCAGCACCATCCCGCCTGCCAACAACAACAACAACAACAGCAGAGTTATCATCATCACCAGCACAGCAGCCCGGTGGGGGTGGGGCCCAACGGCGGCGGCGGTGGCGGCGGCAGGAGCTCAACGGAGGACGCGGCGGCAACTAGCGGCGCCACCGGTACCTTTGGAGGTGAGGAGGACGACGACGGCCGCAGCAACTTGCAAATCGGCGGCCGTAGTGGCGGCGGCGCGGCTCGCAGTGCCGGCGGCGCTTGTGGCGGCGCGCGGCA